GGGACCAGTTCCAGAGAGGGACTAGTTCCAGAGAGGGACTAGTTACAGAGAGGGACCAGTTACAGAGAGGGACCAGTTCCAGAGAGGGACCAGTTACAGAGAGGGACTAGTTACACAGAGGCCTAGTTACAGAGAGAGACTAGTTACAGAGAGGGACTAGTTACACAGAGGGCTAGTTACACAGGAGGACTAGTTACACAGAGGGCTAGTTACAGAGAGGGACTAGTTACAGAGAGGCCTAGTTACAGAGAAGGGCTAATTACAGAGAGGGGCTAGTTACAGAGAGGGACTAGTTACAAAGAGGCCTAGTCACAGAGGGACTAGTTACAGAGAAGGGGAGGCAGCCGTGCTCTGAGGACCCAGCAACAGCCTGCAGCTCAAGACTTGAAGGTCTACATGGCTTCCCCACTAAGAGCAGCCCTGGAATCAGAGCAAAATGACTTGGCCTTTTTACAGGCGAGTTACTTCCACCTCCTTCGTCTATAAACATCTGAGCTTGGACGAAATCTCCCAGGCCTCTTCCAGTTCCCCAAACCCATAATTCAGACTGCCCATAAAAACTAAATGTAACTCTGGGATGTTCATTTTCCAAAGTAAAGTTGTAAAGGGTCTGGACTTTTTCATTAGCAAATGCCAGAACCTATCCAGAACTTTGTGGGTACTCCATGAATATTAAATAATCAATTTTATCTTTCATCTCCAAACTGGGGTGAGTAATGCTGACTTGCCTCCCAGAATTTTGTGTGAGAAATAATAAATGAGAACAAAGCATTTTTCAGATAATGAAGTAATTCGAGTAAGCTGCTTTAATAGGTCTGAGGCCTGGATGGATGATGCAAGAATAAAGTGCCGTTTTTATTATTAAATCTGTGAAATGCCAACACTTTTCTTCTGTTTAAAAAGAAATGGTCATTATCCTTGCTTATCACTAAAACGTCAGCCCGGGTAATTTCTGTGCAAATGAAATTTTTCCTGCAATTTTAACATCTATTGCTTTTAACAAAATGTAGCTTTTATCTGTACCTGATATCAAAATGGAATCCTATCTTGATTTAACTAGTTTAATGAGGCATTCCATCCACGTCATACTACTCTGTCCAAAGGAAATGCTTTCTGAAATGACTGATAAACTGCACAAATGAGAAAATTACAAATTTAATAATCCTTCTTCTCAGAAATAATACAATTCAAGAATTGTTACTAAGGAAAATGATTTCTTGCATTTTTGCTTCCTGCAGATGTTCATGATATGCTTGGTTTTTAAAAACTGTGTATGTTGAATAAGTAATAGGTTCTATATTCTTTTTACAGTTTTCCAGCAGAAGGCAGCCAGAAGACAATCTGACAGTGACAAGTCCCACGGTCTTCCTAAGAAACCAGGTACTGACACTAATTTTCTACTATTTCATAACCTTTCAGTAAAATTTAAAGAAATATTAATAACACTGAAGAAAGTCTCCTGGACAGAAGTAAATAGTGTATGTTTGCTTAATTTTACCCCGATGGTAGTGCCTTGCCCAAATAGAATTTTGCCATAATAAGATCAATGGAAGAAAATTATTTTAATTAACACAGGCAGGAAATGGCCTTGTCCAAGGCCTGTGGTGCTGTTGTTGATGTTATCAGGGTCCCAGGGAGGCCCCACAAGCAGATTCTGTAACATCAGATCCTGTAGACCTAAAGGGTTACTCCAAAGACTGTACCTTCTCCCTATGACTCTCTTGCCCTTGGTCCTTGATCCAACATATTGAGTAATTATTCATCATGACAAAAGAGCTGAACACGGCAGCCTCAGAAACCTCTCACACAGTTGAGATGTTTTCTGTCGCCCGTTCTCCCTAAAACACATGTCATCTTTCAGAAAGAGAGACTCGAGCAGGTTATTTATTAGGATAATTTCTTTCTGAGAATCGGGACTGATTATCATAAATATGGTGGGATCGGGCTGTCCGTAATTACCAAGGAACAGGTGCAGTCCCCCCTTTGAAGTGGCTCTGGTCCTAAATCTCATTGCCATGAAATCACCACCACAGAATCATTGAGAGACTTCAGCACAGAGCCAGGAAACCTAGCACAGCAGTCTCTGCACTCTGCTGCTGAGCCTCCTTCTGTGCCACCAGGATGATGGTGAGGGCCGGAAGTACCCACTCCTGACACCTGCTCACCTCCTGAACGTAGGACTTTGGAGGACCTGCACAGGGACACTGTGGCCGTCCCCCAAGCTGAGCCCCTCAGGCGTGACCCTCACCACCACTCCAGTGCATTTCCCGCTGCAGCCCGTTATACTCTTTTGCAATTAAGCTGGTGATGTTTGAATGAGTACACCAGGGAGCTGAACCTCTGTTCTCCCCTGAGTCCCATGGATGTACTCTTGCACATTTACATGCAAGAACTCTATTTTGCAATTTTCCATTCTTAGCAATTTTGTATTGGGGGGGGAGGTAGATATCTATCAAGTCTACTGTTATCCTCCCACTGTGCCTTTAGCTTGCTCAAGAAATAAATGCAAAACTCCATGTGATATCTTGCTACAATCAGGATCAGAACAGTTTCTGAAGAATTATATGAAATAGCTTAAATCCTCCTCCCCCGCACACCTCACAGGGCTTTGTAGGAATATGCTCTGAGGAATATGCACAGAGGAAATGCTCTGAGCTTTGGGGAGAGCATGTCCCTGAGGCATTTTTCTTAGAGTTTCGTGTTTTTAGTTAAATTCTGATAGCATTAAGAGGGAAACAGGAGATGAAGGAGGGTGACAAGCGTCAGGTGTGGCAGAGAGGCTCTCGGAAGTGTGATGTTATTGGTTACCTGTGGCTCCCACAGGAAGCGGTGCCAGGGAAGCCCAGTAGCCAGGGAGCCTGAAGACCTGATTAGGATTCCACATGGATGGAAAATAGTTCCCTCTATAGGCAGATGAAAGGAGAGAGTGGTGAAACACAATTTTATTGGCTTGATACCCATTCATATCTTATTACAAAATTTCTGCATCAAACTCAACTGACAATAGATTTTGAGAACTCCTTGGGGACTAGGATGGTCAAAATTTCAATCACTTCATCTGAAATTGTTTTCTCTCCTCCCTTATATGATGGAAGGAGAAGGGTCTACGGGAGCCAACTATTTTCCCCCTGGAGGAATAAACATTTCAGGTCCCCTGAGTTCAAGATTGCCAGGGGCTTGCTTGGAAGTTACCATATTGCTAAGCCAGGAAATTTTCCTGAGGAACAGAAAAAAAATTACTTGGCACCAAGTTTATGGAAACACCACATAATTATTCCACTCAATTTTTACATCTTGAAAAATTATAAGGAAAAGTGCTAAAGACTATGGATCACAGACAAAAATTTTCCATCAAAATACTGTTTTAAAATTAATTTTCCCAAGTTGGTTTTTAAAGTTTTAAAATGTCAGTGTGCTGTCACAGAACAGGCAGCCGAGGTACAATTACCCCACTTCCCAAAACCCAGACTCCTGGGGCAGGGGTGAGAGCCAGAGAACAGGGCTTCCTCGGGATGCTGGAGTTCAGCAAGGTTTTGCAGCCTGAGTTATGTTCACCAAGCTCACAGAGGACTGGTTTATAACCCAAGCTACTAAATCCATAATAGGGAAAGATTCCTGCCCAGTGAGTAGAAGAGCCGTGTTCACTTGGCTCTTGCCAAACAATAAAATATCCATAGCATGTAACTAGCAATCAGGAGACCACTGGGTGAACACGATCAAATCAAAGAAAGCCAGAGTGCAAGGCCCCTTCCTTCCGCAAGGACATGCAACTAGCCAGCTAATTTCCTCCCTTGTGACAGGAGACAGCAGTTGAGGGGCCAGATTACTCCTGCTTCCTGGCCTGTTCTGTGTTTCTCCTGGTCTGGTCCACACAGAGAGGCCTTTTCTGTCTCCACCGTCAGCCCCATTCACTAACACTGTCTTACTGCAGATAGATCACTCGGTGACAGATTGGGTTCAAGATTGGCAGGTGGCTTTGTGGTGGTCAAGGGCCTGTCCACCAATCTCCTAGACCACAGTTAATAAGGAGCTGTAGGAAGCTTCTGCTGCTGTCCCCCACGGGGAGCACTTCTCTCCGGTGGGGCTGGGTGAGTAGAGCAGATCGCCATGACTGTAGACCAGCACAGAAGCCATTTGAACAACTTCTGTAGTTGTCACCTAAGCCCTACCTTAGATGTAGACTAAAAGTAGAACAGATGAAAGTAGTTATGGCAATACTAGCAATAATCTCAAAACCAATATCAAACAAAATTGCACCCCCTAAAAAAAAACAACCCTGTACATTCCAGAGGGGATTGTGGTCAGACTGTATTATTTTGCAAAAATAACCTATACAACATCATTTTTGTTGCCGACATTTCAGATCGTGTTTCACATAAGAGTTCAACTTTTCAATTATGCTTTGCTATATCCATGCATCATTTGACACAATAACTTTTGCTAATTATTAGTCTTTCCTTGTCATTTTCTCATTTTTGTGACACATTTTCTTATTTTGTGACACATTTATCTATCACCAAGTGTGAAAATAAATGGTATATCAAAAAACATCTTTTTTATATTTTCATATATAGATATTGTGAAATAGGAAGAAATTGTTCAAAATTATACCAAATGTGAGATACTTTGTTAATAATTAAAATGTTTTATGCAAGGAAGGTATAGTATAATTAGGAAATGAGCTGAAAGATTAGCAAATGAAACTATATTCTTTTAAGATCATGACACACAGTGTATTTACCATTGTTATTCTCTAATTTTGTTATGAAAAGTGTATTTTCATAGAACAGCTTTTATATTTTATTAATATCTACTTCTATGACATTAAAATTTAAAAAATAAATGGTATGTCAAGTGTGATAATTAATTGATTGTGTCAATTTGAGTAAGAAATACCAGCTAGATTGGCTCAGGGTAGTTCTGGGTGGGAAAGACCCGCCCGAGGGTAGCTTGTCGCCAGAATGATATAAAAGGGAAACTGAGAAGGGAGGCATGCTTCTGTTTCTTCAGAGGAGCACCAGTCTTCACCTTCACCTTGCACACTGCCTCCTGGCTTCCAGCGCAGACCCCTCAGCCTCCGATACGGATTCTCACTGGACACTACAGTGACTGGATCCATTGGATCCCAAAGCACAGACAGACCTTCTGCACTCTTCTGCTCCTGACTCTGCTGGCAGCCATTGTCAGCCAATCTTGTAAATTCTTGTATATTTGTATATCTTGCATTAAATCTGTTTCTCAGGTAAGCACCGATTGATACATCAAGACACTCATGTTACTGAGAAGAAAAGAGAGAACATGCTTGTGATGTGTTTGGGATGGTGGGGTCTGGGCTAATGTACCCTGTGAGCAGGCGCCCCGCCTTCTTGGCCTGGATTTCCTCTGCTTGACCCCTGGCGGCTGTGATTTTGCCCCTTCGTGGGGGCCTTCCCTGGGGCCTGCTGTGTCCCCAGAACTACGAAGTCATCACTGGCTGGACTTTGGGGGCACAGGTGCCTGAGGGAAAGGTAGAGTTTTATAAGTTCTCCAAGTGCCCAGTGCTGTCGCCATTTGATAAATGTTAAATAATAAAATTGTCTGGAAGCAGAAACCTGGGGAAATGTGCAGGTATTACTCTTCTGAGGGAGAGAGAATACTGATCTCTGAGGTATTTTCATCAGGCTGTTTTCACCAGTCCTGGATATATTAAATAGAAAAGAGAGAAAATTGTCAAAATACGGTCATTTATACTCCATTAAAGAATAATAGCCCAAGCTCCCTTTTCCAGTAGAACTTCCATTTCCATTTGTCATACTGCTCACAAAAGTTTCTTTGCTTTTGTATATTTTTTTGCTGAAGTTATACCTGGAAAATATTGTATAATAGCTGAGCTCTTGCCTGAAATGAGGCTGTTAGCAGCCCACAATGTGGCCTCTCACAGGAAGCATAAGATAAAATTCTTAATAATCATGAAAACAGAAGCTGGAAAACAGGCTTGCTTGAAAATGGAACTAACCTAATTAATTCTAACTTTGAACAAAGGTGACTGGGACACCCTCAAAATCAATCCATGTCTACTCTGCCGTCTCAGAGACAAAGCCACCTTTGCCCATAGAAGCTCAGAAGGCAACTCCCAAGCCCTCCTGGCCCACTGGCCCTGCAGTGTCCCTGCTACTCCAATGCTACTGGGGGCCAGGGTGCTGCTCCAAGCTGAGGAGCATAGGGTGCAGATCAGAGTGGGCTTCGCTGGTCCTGCAATCCTCAGGGAGCTCTACGATGTCAGGGCGGACCTCGAAGGGCTCCATTAGTGACTTCAATGGAGATGCAGGCACACGAGCCCAGACACCGTGACCTGCTCTACATGGCAAAACAGCAGGAGCTAAAAGCCTACTGGACTATGG